TCCTCTCCCCCTCCCTCCTCCCTTTCACTAATATCATGTCCGTGACCATATGGCAAACCGTCTCACTACCTTGCATGCTATTAGATGCAAAACGCCTACGGTCTTCACCCGAATAGAACGCCCCAGTCATTATGGCTATACATAGACTGAAAGTTGCACCAAATACAGCTATAATGTCCAGGTGCTCTACTCGGGTGAAGAAGGTAGTATTCAGAGTTCAATTCCAATCAATCAACAAACCGAGTGGGAACTAGGCTAACCAACCAATGGCATTATGGGTTTTCCTTTTTTTTTTTTTTTTTCTCGAGAAAAGAGAAACTTGATTGCTCATGAAAAAAAAATTGAGGCCAGGTCCTCACATTATCCCAGAAAAAAAAAAGAAAAAAAAGGAATCATCCCAACTACAACCTGGTTGCAACAGAGAAAGATGGAGGTAGAGACTCTCTGTGCACAGTGCGGGAAGAGCTGAGGAAACTGTTCGTCACCTCTTCCTGGACTGCCCAAAGGCGCAACAGCTGTGGACCTGGTGGAGGCACCACTGGCAAAAGTTCACAAATAATGCGATGTCGTGGAGCGACGACTGGGTCTTGACCGGCCGTCTACCACTTAATTTGAATGCCCAGAGGGGCTGGGGATACATCGCACAGGTAGCAAGGGCGATCCTGATTTGGGTGCTATGGCAGGGAAGAAATGCTAAGATTTTTAGGGATGAAGAGACTCCACTGCCGATGAGACAGTCGGAAGTGCGGTTTCAGCTCAGGATTGCAGCGCAAGTGGATTGGGTTCGAAGGGTAAGCGAAAAAAAAGGGGCAGGCGAAAGTTTCAGTGGTTTCTGTCAACTTGGGCACAGAGGAATCAATTAGCAGCAGTTAAAACGCAAGGGCAGCTGTTGTTGGGTCCTTGGCTCCTGCATGCTCATTCAACCTGAACACTCGGTTGCAGTACAGTCCGCAGTAGGACGACAGTTGGGAGATTTGGGTTGGCGGAAGGAGCGTGATGTGGGGAGGGGGTTATGCCGAGGTAGGTAGTGTTATACCTCGGGCCGCCCCAAGTAGTGTCCAGGAGTAGAGATCAGGAGCGACATTTAGCTCCCTTTCTGGGTTTTCCTTCTAGGTGTGACGAGCGTTATTGGGTTTCGTTTTCGGGTTGTGTTTGTAGTTGTATTAGGTAGGTTTTTTGCCTCTCGAGGGCAGGTTTATTTGAGTTACAAAAGGGGTCTTCCTATGCTACAATCTAGGCTTGTGAGGTGAGAACTAGCTGGTCTAGACCTGGCTGGAAGGGGGTTAAAATTTT